CATTCCCAGTGCCTGGAGCTGCGGGGGGAACAGTCCCGGGCCTCTTCCCCCCTCCATTTCCCTGGCCATGTCCACAGGGGATGGGGTGGGATGAGGCAGAATCGGCTGCAGCCACCAGCCCTGTGGCTCAGCTGTGCCACTCACCTTCCTGCAGGGGCTGGGCCTGCTCCATCTTCTCCGGGTGCTGGAATGGGGCAGCTCCAGGGCCTTCCTTCTTCTTCTTCCGAAAGGGCCTGAGCAGGCTCAGGCGTCTTCCCGCCATCCCACAGTCTGCCTCTTGAAGGCACCTGCAAGAGAGAGACACCTCGGAAGATCTCCGGGTCAGCAAGTCCGGCAGGCTGCCCTCGAGGCCACCTACCGCAGGGATTGGAGACTCCGGAAAATTTCCGGGTCCCCAATCCTGCGGTCTGGCCTCGAGGGCACCTGAAAGAGAGAAAAGCCTAACAAACGGTATGGGTCAGCAAGTCCTGCAGTCTGGGCTCAAGGACACCTGAAAAACAGAAAAGCCTAGCAAACGCTAGGGGTTAGCAAGTCCTGCAGTGCGGCCTCGAGGGCAGCTACCGCAGGGATTGGGGACACCTCGCAAAAGCTCCGTGTCACCAAGTCCCGCGGTCTGGCCTCGAGGTCGCTCGCACCGCAGAAAATCCACCAAAACGCTCCGGGTCAGAAAGGAAGGAGTTGTCTGCACGGGGGCTCCGCACAGCTCCGCTCTATCCCGTCCGTCCCGTCGCACGCTCCGAGGAGCACTGAGGCGTTGCCACCTCCCCACCAGTACTATGTCCTCCCGTGTCACAAAGGGCCCTGTGACACCCTGCCCCGTGCCATCCCACCGTGTCACAAAGGGCCCTGTGACACCCTGCCCTGTGCCCTGGGGACTCCCCCAGCCTGGCCAACCTGCCCCAGGTGGGAAGGAGTCCGTTCTGCAAAGTATCTAAGACAGCTGGACATGAACTTTAGGCACAGCTGAAAAACTAAGCAAACCCTCCCCTGCTGGCACGGGCTCCTTGGGAGAAGTGCCGGCTGGTGGCCCTCCCAAACACGGGGCTGTGACACACAGAAGGAACGTGGGGGCAAGGGCACCAATGCTGCTGCCACCCCATTGCCCGGGGCTGCACCAAAATCAGCAGCTCTGGCAAGTCCTCGCCCAAGGAGACCTGCCACCGCCCCCAGTCCTGGCAGGGCTGGTGCCCCTCTCCTGTCCCACAGAGCTGTGTCCCCGGGGCACTTCTCTGCCACAGGGCAGCCAAAGCCAACGGGCACTGATGTCTGTGCTCTTGCAGGGGGCTGTTGGGAGCGGCAGCTGGAGCAATTGGTGGCCGTGCTCGGCAGCTGTCAGAAGGCAGAAG